CGGGCATCGCCTTATGGGACAAACGTCGCTTGCCCAACTGCGGCCGATGCCGATGTTGGACAAAACTTGCTGTTGGACATCGTCCCCATTTTAGTCCGTGCCCAGTTCGGACGTAGCAATTCCTCCTCCTCCTCCTTATCCTCCTCCTCCTCCCTCTCCTCCTCCTCCTCCTCCTCCGCCTCCTCCTCGTCATCAGCATCATCATCACCATCACCATCATCATCATCACAAATGATAATACTAATCATCCTTATCAGCATCACCGTAATCATAATCCTCAACATCATCATCATCCTCATCATCATCAGTATCATCATCACCGTCATCATCGTCATCGTCTTCGTCGTCATCCGTCGGCATCACCATCCATATCATCAGCATTATCATCAGATCAATCATCAATAACGTTTAGCATTACCATTAGCATTATCATTATCATTATCACTACCATCATCTTGTTATCTGGAAGCGCCACATGTGATCACCACTAAACAGAAGGCTTCCACTAATGAGTGAAGGCCACAGTACACGGGAGGCGGCCCATGCGTGCGCATGAGCGTGTCGCGCCCCACGAAGAGCCCCAGACAAGCAAGCATAGTGTAGTGGTCACTTTGGGCCGCGTGTTTTCCCGTACCTTCACACTCGCCGCTTGCTCGCCCATCTACCCGCTTCCCGCTGCATGCCCTGCGCATGCTGCATGCAGTCAAGATGTTAAAGGTAGGAGCAGTTCGGGTTTGGTAGGGTTTCGGTATTCATTCATGAGATCATTATATGATTTGTCCCAACCATCCTGTGGTGTTGGGTCCTCGTTTTGAAGAGACGTCGCCCCGCGTTCTTCCTTCCTCCTCCTTCCTCCTCCTCCCCTTCCTCCCCCCTCCTCCCCCTCCCACACCCATTCTGGCACACCCCTCACACGCTCCGTGGCCCCATAGGGAGCTCCACCGAAGGCCCCAGTGGTTGCGCCCGCATGCGGTTCCACCCCCAATTCTGGCACACCCCTCACACGCTTCGTGGCCCCATAGGGAGCTCCACCGAAGGTCCCAGTGGCTGCGCCCGCATGCGGTTCCACCCCCCATTCTGGCACACCCCTCACACGTTTCGTGGCCCCATAGGGAGCTCCACCGAAGGCCCCAGTGGCTGCGCCCGCATGCGGTTCCACCCCCCATTCTGGCACACCCCTCACACGTTTCGTGGCCCCATAGGGAGCTCCACCGAAGGCCCCAGTGGCTGCGCCCGCATGCGCCCCCCCATTCTGTGGTGGCCCCATAGGGAGCTCCACCGAAGGCCCCAGTGGCTGCGCCCGCATGCGGTTCCACCCCCCATTCTGGCACACCCCTCACACGTTTCGTGGCCCCATAGGGAGCTCCACCGAAGGCCCCAGTGGCTGCGCCCGCATGCGGTTCCACCCCCCATTCTGGCACACCCCTCACACGTTTCGTGGCCCCATAGGGAGCTCCACCGAAGGCCCCAGTGGCTGCGCCCGCATGCGGTTCCACCCCCCATTCTGGCACACCCCTCACACGTTTCGTGGCCCCATAGGGAGCTCCACCGAAGGCCCCAGTGGCTGCGCCCGCATGCGGTTCCACCCCCATTCTGGCACACCCCTCACACGTTTCGTGGCCCCATAGGGAGCTCCACCGAAGGCCCCAGTGGCTGCGCCCGCATGCGGTTCCACCCCCCATTCTGGCACACCCCTCACACGTTTCGTGGCCCCATAGGGAGCTCCACCGAAGGCCCCAGTGGCTGCGCCCGCATGCGGTTCCACCCCCCATTCTGGCACACCCCTCACACGTTTCGTGGCCCCATAGGGAGCTCCACCGAAGGCCCCAGTGGCTGCGCCCGCATGCGGTTCCACCCCCCATTCTGGCACACCCCTCACACGTTTCGTGGCCCCATAGGGAGCTCCACCGAAGGCCCCAGTGGCTGCGCCCGCATGCGTCCCCACCACCCATTTCGGCACACCCCTCACACGTTTCGTGGCCCCATAGGGAGCTCCACCGAAGGCCCCAGTGGCTGCGTTCCGCATGCCTCCCCACCACCCATTTCGGCACACCCCTCACACGTTTCGTGGCCCCATAGGGAGCTCCACCGAAGGCCCCAGTGGCAGGGTCCGCATGCCTCCCCACCACCCATTTCGGCACACCCCTCACACGTTTCGTGGCCCCATAGGGAGCTCCACCGAAGGCCCCAGTGGCAGGGTCCGCATGCCTCCCCACCACCCATTTCGGCACACCCTCACACGTTTCGTGGCCCCATAGGGAGCTCCACCGAAGGCCCCAGTGGCAGGGTCAGCATGCCACCCCACCACCCATTTCGGCACACCCCTCACACGTTCCGTGGCCCCATAGGGAGCTCCACCGCAGGCCCCAGTGGCTGCGCCCGCATGCGGTTCCACCCCCCATTCTGGCACACCCCTCACACGCTTCGTAGCCCCATAGGGAGCTCCACCGAACGCCCCAGTGGCTGCGCTCGCATGCGGTTCCACCCCTCATTCTGGCACACCCCTCACACGCTTCGTGGCACCATAGGGAGCTCCACCGAACGCCCCAGTGGCAGGGTCCGCATGCCTCCCCACCACCCATTTCGGCACACCCTTCACACGTTTCGTGGCCCCATAGGGAGCTCCACCGAAAGCCCCAGTGGCAGGGTCCGCATGCCTCCCCACCACCCATTTCGGCGCACCCTTCATGCTGTTCGTGGCCTCATAGGGAGCGCCACCGAAGAATATATCCACAATTGCGGTATTCGCAACTACGTATGGTTGGGTCCTTCGCCAGGCTAATTCATCCAGTGTTCCTCGTGTACCCAGGCGCTTGTGAGTGCAACATACGACGCCGTTCCTTATTCAGCGTTCCTTGAGGCAGCGGCTTCAATGTACACGTCTTCCTTCGCGCATCTCCTTATGTCTATATGATTGTTGTCATTCCCCCTGTTCGAAATTTTCGAGAGGGTTTCTGCGCCTCTAGGTAGGTTTACCCCCTGTTCCCAAGCCCATGCACAACGACCCCCCACCACACTATTATATATATATAATAATAATATTTAAAAAAAAAAAAAAAAAAAAAAAAAAAAAAAAAAAAAAAAAAAAAAAAAAAAAAAAAAAAAAAAAAAAAAAAAAACGTGACGATAGGAGTCCTAGCTCAATACATTCCGATCCATCGATAATTGGTCCTTTGCCCCCTTTCCCCCCCTCCTTCTTTGCCCAAATCGACTGCAACGGCTTCTTCTGATTGCAATGGTGTCTTATGATATCGCAGTGGCTCCTTGTGGTTGTTACAATGGTTTCCAGTCTACTAGAGTTGACGAGAGAAGAGTATACGAGCAGAGTAGAGCAGAAAAGAGTAGAGTAGAACAGGGTGTATTAGAGTAGTGCTGAGGATGAGTGGAGTAGGGCTCGAGCAGAGATGAGTCGAGTAGGAATATAGTAGAGCAGAGAAGAGAAGAGTAGAGTAGAGTAGAGTAGTGCAGGGTAGGGCAGGGTAGGGAAGAGTAGAGCAGAGTAGAGTAGCGTAGACTAGACTAGCGTATATGGTGGAGTAAAATCGGGTAGAGTAGAGTAGAGGGGAGGGCAGGAGAGGAAAGTAGAACAGGGTAGGAGTAGAACAGAGTAGAGTCAAGTAGAGAAGGTTAAGGAGTGGATGAGAGTCTCAGAGAGGAGAGTGGAGTAGGAGTAGAGTAGATGAGAGTAGAGTAGAGGAGAGTAGAGTAGAGTAGACTGTGAGTATAGTAAAAAAATTGACGGGTAGGGTAGAGTAGAGTATATCGAAGTACATGACAGCAGAGTAGAGTAGAATGGGAGCAGGAGTAGAATAGGAGTCGAATCAAGTAGAATAGAGTAGTGTAGAGTAGAGTAATGAGGTGGAGTGGAGCAGGATAGAGTAAAGTAGATGGAAGAGTCGAGTCGGGTAGAGTAAAGTGTAGTAGGAGTAGGCTAGAGTAGAGTATACTAGAGTAGAGTAGAGTAGCGTAGAGTCGGGTAGGGTAGAGTAAAGTAGAGTAGGGTAGAGTATCATAGAGTTGTGTAGGGTAGGTAGGGTTGAGTATGGTTGACTAGAGCAGCGCAGAGTAGAGGAGGGCGGATGGAAGAGTGGTGTCGGGTAGAGTAGAGTCGAGTAGAATGGAGTGGAGTAGAGTAAAGTTATAGTGGAGTAGGGTAGAGAAGAGCAGACTAGGAGTAGACTAGAGTAGAGCAGAGTACAATGGAGAAGGAGTAGAGTAGAGTCGTGTAAAGTATCGTGGAGTAGGGTAGAGTAAAAAATAGCAGGGTAGAGTAGAGTAGAGTAGGCTAGGGTAGAGTAGAGCAGGGTTCAGTAGAGCAGCGTAAAGTAGAGTAGGGTAGATAATAAGGTAGTGTCGAGAAGAGTCGAGTAGAGTGGAGTGGAGTAGAGTGCACCCCAGTCCAGTCCAGTCTGCTCCAGTCCAGTCGACTTCAGTCCACTCCAGTCCACTTCCTTTGAGTCTTCTGATATTTTCGAGGTCTGCGTTGGCTGAGGTTATGTAAAGTGCGTTGCGGCTTGCACCGTGTTTGTGCTCGGGCAGGGTCCTCCCAGACGCCAGAGCAGATCCGCCGTTGTCGGGTCCGTCAGCCTGGGGGCCCGTGCCTCATATGCTACAGTTAGGCAGGACGAGTGGTATCAAATGATTCTGCTGGGCGAAAGTACTACCCGATATGCTTCCAGACCGCCCAAGGGGGACTGGAGTTGCTGGGGTCGGAGGATAGCGCCACGTCGGCGATGCGGTGTGACCCTCCGACTCCATCTGCGCCGGCCCAATCGTTTAGGCAGCCTCCAAAGCAGGAAGAGTGGCCTCCTGAGGTCTCCGTCGGGCGCCGGTGCCCTCCGCCAGCGCTGCCGCAAGCCAGACTGGCCACGGCGCTGGACCTCCGAGCAAGCCAGCGCAGCCCACCAGCGGTCCTGCGAGGCCACGGCACCGCCCGCCCTGCCCTGCATGGGGCCACCAGCGCCCCGAGGTCCCGAGTCCAACTCCGCCGGCTCCAAGGGGGAAGGCCTCCCGCGGCCGCGCGGCAGCGGCGCCGCGCCATGGGCGCGCGGCCCGCCACGACGCCGCCGCTGCGGAGGGCCGCACAGGACGCCCGCCGCGCCCGCAGCCGCCGCGGTGGGGGGGTGGCAGACACGCGGCGCCGCGCAAAATCGAGGCGGAGGTTTCTCATGTCGGCCTCTCGGGGCCCAGTCTGGGCCTCGGGACCGTCAAACAGCGATTTGGGACGAAGAGCCAGTCTTGGGGAGGTGGTCGAGAGGGGGGAGGATCCTGTGGTTCGAAAAAACCGAGGCGCCGGACGTCTGTGGATGAGAGTGGCCCGTTCGCACCGCGTCGCTGCGCGTCCGCCGCGCGTCCGCAGCGTCGCCAGCGGCAACACCAGCGCGGCCGCTCAAGGTTGAAGGCCTCCTGCGACCTGGGCCGGGCCACAGCCTGGAGCGACCTCCGCCGTCGCTTGGGGTCGAGCGGCCTTTCCCGACATCCGCCGATGTGATTTTTTCAACCCGCGGCCCCAGAGGTCCCGACCACTTCCCCAGGGGTATGTTTACGTCCCAGGTCCGGTGTTTGGTGGTCCCGGGGCCCCTTTAATAGCCCCCGGAAGTCGAAACCGAGGCGGAACGCCCAGATTGAAAACATCATATCGTCGGAGATCTGGGCTCGCGGCGTCAGAAGCCAACGTCCGCACGACAAGAGACAGCCGCACTCTCGGCCGCGGGCGCGCCTTGCCTCCAGCGGCCGCGCCGTGGGAGCGGGATGGGGCCACAAGCACGCTCGGGATGGCGCCGCGTCGTCGCGGCAGGAAGCACGCTCGGGGGCCGCAAGAGCAAATCGCGACAGCAAGTTTTGCCCTGGTTTGTTGGGCCTCCAGCGTTCGCGTCCCGGTCGCCCGCGACCGCCAGACGGAAGACTCCTGACGAAAAGTTGGCCTTGGAGGGAGGGGGTCGAGATCCCCCGGGTGGCCTTTCGTCGCGACAGAGGATCGGTCGTCCTCGGGGAGGGCGGATTCGGCTACACGTCGGAGTGACCTTCGGTGCGCGGCTGTCGGGGGGCGCGGGGGTCCACTCCCGGACACGCAAGCCGTCATTGCCGCACCGCGTGAAGTGATGGGCAAGCCGCGCACCAAGGGTCGAAGGTTCACTCTGGCGTGTAGCCACAGGGTCCTCGCCCGATTTTCTCACCGCCGCTGACACGAGGCACGGATGACCCTGTGGACTTCGGCGGTCCCGGGGCGCGCTTCTCCTCGAGGGCCCCAGTAGGCCATCCGTCCTTGATTGCGCAGAAGCAGTTCAGTGGGAAACCGGGAAGCTTGATTGGAGGAGGATGGCGGGCGACCGCGTGTTTGTGTGGCCCGTTGCTTGTTTGTGTGGCCGGGCGCACGGCCGGATAGGTGTTCTTGTGGCCCGCATTGGTTTCTCAATTAAAAGGAACATGTCAAGACTTCCGTTGTCAGATGTAAACCTCTATGCAGCTTTTTGGAATGGTTGTAATCCCCCCCGGGGGCCTCACAAACACCCATGTTGACTCGTGTTGACAGCAATGTGTTAACAGTAGTAATGGTAATGATAATGGCGGTGGCAGTTGCACTGACTGGCATAGCAGTAGCACTAGCAATGGTGATAACAATTTTCTCAGGCACCCCAAAATCATCACCCGGTCACGCGCCAGGGATGAGACTGCTGGCGTCCCTCTGGCTCACCCATAAGAATTCTTTTGAGAGGGGGGAACTTTCGGTCGTCACCTGGTCACGCGGAGAACCCTTGACGTTTATTGATGTAGAGATATACGAAATCCCATGAAATCCATAGAATGCCAGATGGAAGCTTGGAATTTCTGTCGGAAGCAACATGCATTCCAAAGGATTTTGAGCGTTGTTTTCTCCCGTCGCTGTGTTCGGCACTGCGACAGGCAGATACCGATGTGTTGATGAAATCATGATGCGTTTGTTTCGACACCAGAGACTGCACGTCGAAGGTTGTAATCTCACTGTCTGCGCGCAGCTCCGGAGACTCAACTTCGAAGGGCGCGGCGGCGCCGTTTTGCCGCATCACAAAACGAACGCCCATAGCAAATTCGAGCAAAGCACGGCGCACGATGAAATTCACACGCAGGCTCTGCAATAGGTATGCGGGATTCCTCGGTAGCTGACTTACAATCGCAAATGTTGTCCGAGAACGACCTATAGGAATCAATAGGAAACAGTAAAAATCAATCGACACCAACAGGGCTCAACGAAAGAGTAATCAATAGGAATCCGTGAGAATCATTAGGATCCAATTGGAGGCAGCAGGAATCAATAAGAAGCAATCATAATCAGGAGGAAGCAATAGATACCAATTCGAACCATTTGGAATCAATATGAATACGTATACAGATGAAACAGAACCAATACCAGTCAATAATAAACAGTAGTACCAGTAAGGATTAGAAGAAATCGAACGGAATCAAATGGAACAGTGAGAACTATAAGAACCATCAGGAATCAATCGGAATCTGCAAGAATGA